TTTTAGAAGCTAAACTATCAGACCATTATGATATAATGCTAAAAGAGGGAACATAGGATTAAAAAACCCACACTGTTTATATCCCTTAATTCTATATAAATATATGCATGGATAGAAAAAGTGGAAAATACAATAAAACATTAGCAGTGATATTCCTAGATGATAGAAACACAGATTTTTTTTCTCATTTATCATTTTCCATGTTTTCTAATTGTTCTCTAATAGGTATATAAGACTTTCAAACTAGAAAAAACTAGTAGAAAAAACTACTTTGAGTAGGAGGCACAAACTACTAGAAAAAACAAACTAGAAAAAACTACTTTGAGTAGGAATGTGTGTGCCCAGTGGACTGAGTTTTTGTGTAGACTATAATATTGCAGGAACTACTGTGATGACCAGATAAAAGAGTGATTTTTGGCTGAAGAAACAGCTGAAGAATATTATAAGCTACCAACAGTAACAACTACTCACAACTATGATTTATCTTGAGAATCACTGGCCTACAAAATACTAAATGAGTCTTGAAGGAATTCTAAGATTACATATAAGAATTAAAAAATAAAATTTGCATGCTATGATTCTACAAAGTATAACTGTTTAAATGTAGAGAAAATATTTAGAGTAATTCTGTCTTGAGTATACAAAACATCATTAGGTTGGAGAAGATTAACTATTTTCTGTCCTATTAGAGAAAAGATAAAATGGTTTTAGTGGCAGGAAAGTTTTAACTACACCATCAGCCATATAAGCCCAGAAAGATATAAGCTGAAAAATAAATCAAGATTTAGATCAACATAAAATTTAACACTCACTACATTGCTACCTGGTGGCTCCTATCTCCTTGCCATTTGAAAACATAAACAGTGCTAGTGAAAATTCTATAGGTTAAAGGCTTTTTCTTACCAAAACCACAAAGTTAAACTGTAAATATGAAACCTCAGGAAGGGTAAGAACACTAGAGAAGAGTCTTTCCTCATTTTCCCAGAAACTTTAAATTGAATAAATCTATCTACCTTGTATAGATTAGTGGCAATGTCTGGCTTAGCAAATTTCTATAGATTTCTTTCTAGCTCTCTATATACTATGACAAAGCCCTAATGAGGTTTTAAAACACCCATCAATACAAAAAGCATGCTGTTTGGTAAAATGTATCCTCAAGTTCTAGTGGAAATACTTCACTTCCATAATATTTAGACACTAAGATATAAATTTGTAGTTTAATAAACAAGTATTTAAAACAACTCTAGTGTTTTAAAACATTCTACCCTACATAAATTTATACTGTGGTACTTGAAAATCTATCAAAGTAAGGCATTTTTTATTTTTAACCATCAATTATTTTTACATTAACCATTTTTATTTAACTTGAAAAGGTCTTAATTACATGGAATCAAAAAATCCCTCTAAACATATTCCTTAAGGGAAAAATGGAAGGAAATACAGTGTGCAATGGTGTCTGACAGCCATGGTAATTCTAACAGGGGAAAATATATGCAAAACTATAACAAACTCTATATATAAACAGTCTAAACACAGATTTTCACCAATAAAGATATAAAATTAAATGCTATTATGTCAGCATTTTCAGAAAAAGATACAGCAGTAACTGTGAAAGCATTATGCTAGTACAAATAAATTACAGAAAATAAACTCAATTTAACATAAATCCCCTCTAAAACATGAACTATATATTATCTCAACAAGATTTATAGAAGACAGTATATCCAATGAAAATCCAAACTCACTTTTTAGGTAACACCCAGAAAATTGAAAATGCTGTTCCTATTTTAACATGTATTTCTCAGAATAAGATTCACCATGAACATTTTAGATTTTTACATCCTCCTTAGATAACCAAGTGAAAAATCCAACAATACACAAATAGGTACTTTCATCGGCACATAAAACAAAGGTAGCTAGGTTAGGAAACAGAACACAAGTTCAATCTAATCAATACAATACTAGTACAGAGGCATCCATTTTAACCTACAAGGAAAAACCTGAGCCACAAAACAGGGTTTCCATTTTGAATCTTACTAACTTCTAGACAGTGTGTGTATTTTGACCTTAGAGTGATCAAAATATGAGTGAAGTTCATGTTCCACCACCTAAAAGTTCTAATGCAACAGAAAAATGGTCATTTTGTGTTGCTGAGAGTTTTTAACAAAGTCTTTTATGTTATTTATTTTTTCAGCACATGTTAGAATTACAGAGATTCTTTAAAAATCAAATGTGAAATATCTATATACATTAAACTGACAGCATAATCTCTACCTCTGAAATGCTAATATAATGTTTAAAATTAGACAAACTAACATCCAGTAAACAGCATTTTATTTTATGACACTCTGTGTTAATACAATAAATATACAAAACTTCCAAACCACTGAAAACATGCAACATTAGAGGGACAGATGGAGGGCATTTATATAGAACCATGACACTCATCATGATGGCAGCGCAATATTACTCACTGACAAAATATACAAACATCCCTAGATAAATAATCCAAGTCCCAAATTACAAATCACTGAGCAAGGATTTTCCAGTGTTCAAATTTTAGTTTGAAGGAAAACAGCCACAACTTAATATTGCAAACTGAAAAATGACATGAATGCTTACAACATGAAGACCATTTCATGACTGTGATACTGGGTGGGTCACATTAGTATTAAATATAATACATTAACAAATGCCAATCTTTTGCTGGAAAATGTGACCATTTACCAACTATTGTTAGGAGAATAGAGAATCTAAGAATTTAAAATCCCTATACCTTATCAAACCGTTAGTATTGCCATCATTTTAATCCACATTTAGGTTTTTAAAAAACAATTTTCTCTCATAAGCTTGTATTAACCCAAGTAACTGGATCTTAAAACATTCTCCCCATCTACACACAAAAAAGGTACTGTTGGTTTTAATTATTTGCTATTTAACAATGCTACCTTTGGGGATTTCTACAAAATAGAGATAATTCCTATTCTTAAAGGGAAGTATGTCAGTATTTTTCAAGTCTCTATATTCATTTGTAGTTAAAAGAAAAAAAGAAATGGACTTGAGATATAAATTAATGATAAATATAAGAGCTCCTCTTGTATTTTGTGGTTAATGTTTTGAATGTTTGTAAAATACACACTCAGTAAAGCACACTGTGATAAAATAGATTTTCAGTAAGATTATAGAATCTAAAGAACTTGAACTGGCTTATTTGTTTGACAAAGTAGGGAGATTATTACTAATCAGAAATATTCATAAAAACAGTTTTAAATTCATTTTCTGAAACCTATTTTAATCATAATAAAAGAAATATCTTCCAAGTATATTATTTCAATAAATCCCCAAATAAATCAAATGTAAACACCATCTAGATGGATCCATGTTATCTATTATCACGCAAAGCTTCCCTTATAAATAGTGAGAACTCATCATCCCACCCTCAGTATGAAATTCATTTACCTCCAGATTTGGGGAAAAGAATGCAAGTGATTTAACTATTTATACCCATCTGATTCTTATTTTTAAAAAAGATCTGCAGTCTCAAATAATTTAACCCAATAGACTATCCTTACTTAAAATCAAGTTGAATAGATCATTACTGATTATTCTGTAATCTTAAATTAGCTAATGACTTCCAAAACACAGTATAATGACTTTCAAAGGTCTTTGAGTCATTAAATCAGTATTAAAAATGATTCAAAGTTTCAAATCAAGTATACTCTAAGAATGAACTCCTAAGCTGCATAGTAACAATTTCAACATGGTCATAGTCACAATTAATGCATTTAACTGTATTTGTATTTTCTTGCTTGGTGCAAGTTTTATGTTTCATTTTTTTCTATTGCTGAAAAATTTTAATGTATTCAGTCTGTGTCAAAAGTTCAAAGACTGAGGTGCATTAGGAATTCAAGTATATGTGAAACAACAGCATCTTTTTCTTTTTAATCCCACTACAGATGAGAGGCTAAAAGAAAAATCCCTGAAATACTGTATGTTCTTTTTGGACAAGGAGTTAGTCTAGACTTTAATACCTCTGTTAAAAATTATACACACACACTCCCCAAAAAAGAGCTGCCAAACACAATCTCAGTTCAATTAAAATGAGTAACCACAAGAATATACCAAAGTTTCCATACAGTAATATTCTACTATGATACGGATACTGAAAATTAAAAAACAAAAACAAAAAACAGTATTATCATCACTACATTCTATTCCACTGATTATCTACCCTTTTTTGGATGATGCACTGCATATTATGTTCTCATATTGCATCCCAATAAATTTTTATTTAACAGAAACTATTGCAGAAAATCTCTTCTTTGATTCTACCAGCAACTCTGCAATCCTACAACCATAAGCAGTGCAAAAGCCAAAATACTAATTCTTTTAAGAAATGTGGTGCCCATGCAAGATCAGAGATTGGTATGAAAATATCAACTACTCTATAAAAATAAAACAAAAAGAAAAGGATAAAATTTACATCATCTACTACGAAATGCACACAGGCTCTTCACTGGTGACTAAAACTGCTAAAAAGCAAGCCAATTTTAAAATCCCTAAGTCCCTGATGGCCTATTTCTTTCAGTATAAATGGGGAAAATGGAATGAAGCATCGCTTTAATGTTCCAATATGTAATCCTTAAGTCTAAGATTTTTGAAAGAATGACTGCAGCTAGTACTAAATGCATTTTTAATCATAAGTACCATATTAATTTCAGTGTGTCACCACTGAAATAATTTGCTGAACATTCATCCCCCAAAAAATATGGAGAATATTTATTTAGCATGTGATATTTTTTTCTGCAAGGGGCACCAAAATATTAAGAAACTAATAGGCAAATAAGACAAGGAAGTTTTTCTGGTTTTAGCCCATGCACAAGTGAACAGGAAATATACATGCTGTGTGTACTGTGTTTTGAACATAAAAATATTTATAGAGTACAGTAACTGGAGAAAAAGTACAGTCAGAAGGTACCAGTGTACTGTTGGAGGGTTCTCTACATCTGGTTACCCTTGAAAGCGTTCTGAGCCGCACTAGTTGCTGCACTTGAAGCTGCATTTGCAGCTGCAGTCTGGACAGTTTTGTTGGACATCACACCTGTTGCAAATTCTTGTTGGGCCTTCTCAAAACTAGCACCTGTTGTGCGGTATAGTCCATGTACCTACGGAGGCACAAAAAAGTGGGACAAGTTAAGTGGTAATCTACACACTCATTTTCAGCAACTCTTCAATTAATCTTGACATTACCCAGACATAAAAGGACTAGATTCTAGCCATGATTCCTAAGGTCAAGAATATCAGCCACCACAGTGACATACAATACTGTATTTAAATATTTTCCTAACATTGTCTTCCACTTTACTCCCAATGCAGAAGAGATAGTTATGCTTATGCAAACCAACAATAATTTTTAAAACTTCTTAACCAAATGCAAAAAGCTATTTTTCCTGCTATACCTACTTTTTAAGATATTACAGAGAATGGTTTAAACATAACAAGAGACATTCAGACATTAATACATTAACTTACCACCTTAGACAATTCAGAGTAATGCCTTATCAATTTTCATGTTGGCTACATATACACCACTACCCCTATTATAATCAAATGATTATCATTTCATCATTTAATATACCAAGGAATACATAGGTCCTTAAAGATACTTTTGCTGTCCTCTTTCACTCTGTGTACCATTTTACTTTTTGTGTATGGTCAAGTCCTAAAGGATTTACTTCTGAGAAATTTTGGGAAAGGAAAAACTTCTGGAAAGTGTCTGCCCATACTGATTTATCACTTAAATCTTTGGGACTTCTTTTCAAGAGAAAGGTTCAAAAACACTCTATTAGCATATGTTACGAGATGCATAAACTACAAAGTGCAACAATACATAACATCAGCCAATTTATATACATTTGGGAAAGGAAATAAAGCAAATTAGAATATTTATTTATTACATGTCTACACACTTGGGGGGAGGGAGGAAGAGAAAGAAAGGGAACTTTCTTTGAATGAGTCAAAGACTTTCAAGTCAAACTTGGATACTGGGAAACTGTTTCAAGAAGACAGAGAAGAGGTAAGATAGGTTGGTTTAGAGGGGAAAGGAGACACTAAGTTCAAAACATTCATACCTAGCACAGCAGGCAGCAGGCAGGTGAAGATTTGATTTGGAGTTCAAAAGAGGAATAGGCTAGGGACATGGACTTGAAAAGCAATGGCACATAAATGGTAACTGCAACTCTGACATAAATGAAATGGTCCATGGAGAAAAAAGGAAAGAGTCAAATATCAAAGTCTGTTAAGATACCAATATTTAAGAGGTACCCACGACAATAAGGAACAATTAAAGAGAGGAATGGGAAAAGCCAGGGACTTTTTCACAGATGCCAAGGGAAGAAAGCCATGTTAAGGAATGAAGAGCTGCTCCGGGTAGGAGATAAAAATACCCAGGCAGCCCTGAATTCTTCTGACACAGTGATGAAAGCAAATGTCATATTACAGTGGAACAAGGTGTAAAAGGGTCAGGAAGAAAATGAGAGCGCTGACAAGTACACTTTAGGCAAACCCTAAAATTGTTTTCTTCTCATACTATAGCACTATCATAATTTAATTCCTTTAATATTTTGAGAGAATGATGAGAAAATGACTTTTTCATGTGTTGGTTAACTGAACACTGTATTTTACCTCTTTTGTATTCATTTCTTTCTCTCCAAGAGATAATCTTTATGCATTATTCAAATTTACTATTATGACAGACAAAAATGGTTCCAAACAAAATTGTTGATCCTCACTTATAAACATCAAGGGATCTGAAAAATTAATCTTCACATTCGCAGAGTCTGTGAAACGTCATTCTATTACATGATCATTTACTGTTGTAATTTTGGCCAACGTGTTCAAAACCATTTCTTCATGTTGGGAATTTTCAGAATCATAAGTAATTATTTTTATTCCCTTTTTAAATTTTTTTTTCAACGTTTTTTATTTATTTTGGGGACAGAGAGAGACAGAGCATGAATGGGGGAGGGGCAGAGAGAGAGGGAGACACAGAATCGGAAACAGGCTCCAGGCTCCGAGCCATCAGCCCAGAGCCTGACGCGGGGCTCGAACTCACGGACCGCGAGATCGTGACCTGGCTGAAGTCGGACGCTTAACCGACTGCGCCACCCAGGTGCCCCTTTATTCCCTTTTTAAAACCAATTTTTCTTTGGAACTTAATTAAAGATACAGATAAATTACTACTCCTATGTTCAAGAAAATTATCTCAAAGCAATGAATACATATAATTAGGACCAAGAAAATGAAGTTTATGATAGAAATCTAATAAACCTTGGCTACTTACTAGACTCTGTCATCATACAATATAATTACAGATTCACTTGTGTCTTCTCCCTTCCCCCCAAGTTTATGAGCATATAATCAACAAATGTTTGTTCTAACTTGCTTTGTTATTTCCTTTTCCAAATTTGTTTTAAATTGAGTGCCTGATGTTACGTATTCATGGACTTCATATTTAATTACTTAAAAATGTCACGCACAGCCCCACAGAGCAGGAAGGCAAAATAAAGGTAGGAACAACATACACTTCTCAGTAGTCCAAATCTATATAGACTCAGAGAGCCACCTAGAGGGAAGAGACTACACATGCGTACTCAGTGCATAATGCTCAAATACTGTATGAAATCCATTATAAAACCATGTGAAAACAGGGATTCTTTTTACCAGTGCTCCAGCAACATGACAGGCTAATTCTAAGGATTACCATCTCAAAAAACTCATCAATTTCCTGCTATGTTTCATAGTGTTATCTATTGATAGCTCACATTCCTTACAACATCATGGACAAAACTTTAAGGTAAAATATTACAATTAAAAAAAACTAAACAACTTAAATACTTTCTATCTCTTCTAGTTATGAGAACATCAACCTAAATATTTAGTTCTAGGAGTAACACAGAAAGAACAGTAGATTTGCTATCTACTGATTCCACTGCTTTCTACCAGGCTGGTCACCACTCAAAACCTCAAGTTTACTTCCCATGAAACAAGAATATTTGTTGTCCTATCTCTCACATTTTTCCTAAGGATAAAATGAGAGTTATGTAAATGTGTTACTCTAGTAAAAATTAAAATTAATTTTTAAGTATCTGGAGAAGAGTCACAGCCGAGATGCAACTCCAGAAGGGTATCTTGCTTTCTTAATGTATCTTCAAACATATGTTAGTGTATACTGTGGTGGTATATGACACAACAAATTGTATACTATGGAAATTAAAGGCTCATGGTACTTTAAACAAAATAATCCAAACATATATTTCCATTAAAGCTTAGAGAATATGATTTCAAGAAATGTTTTTATTAATATAAGTTGCCTGTTACATAAAAATCACTAACTTTTTTTAAAACCTGGGAAAAACAAATTTTTGAAATTTTTATTCTTGTGAGTTTTTTTTAAAAACTTAGGGATCTCTTAGCCTAATGTTTTCAATTAAACATTTCCTATAAACCATCTGTGAACTGCCCATAGATCTGGGTCAGATACCCCTTCTGTCACCTCTTGAATTAATACTCTCTTTTCACACTATTGAAATCCTGTTCATCCTCTGCAGCCTATCTCAAATACCACTGTCCTCTTTCTGCTTGATCTAACTGTGACTCTCCCTGTTGTGAGCACCTCCAGTACATCTTTTAGGGATGTCTAGTGTGCCTTTTCTTTTGTAGGAGTTATCTACATGTCTTATACCCCATGTGCTTTTGGTTCCTTTAGGGGAAGAGCTAATTTCTACTCATTATTATATCACCTATAAGATATAGTGACTTGCTGGGGTACGTGGCTGGCTTAGTCAGTAGAGCATGCAACTTTTGACCTTGGGGTCATGAGTTCAAGTGACACAGTGGGTGTAAAGCTTACTTAAAAAAAAAAAAAAAGACATGATAACTTGCAGTAAAAGCCACTGAATAATTACTTGTTTATTTTTTCTTTTATTTTTTTAGCCATTTAAACAAATGGCTCACAATTATCCTATTAAAAAAAAAAAAAGTTACCAAAGAGGTACACTACTAATCTAACACACTGTACCTATGTTACAAAGAAAATTGCTTAGTTTGCAATTACCTTCACAGGCCAGTTTACAAGTGAACATACTAGGGAACTTTAACATACCACTTACATCAATAGATCACTCAGGCAGAAAATCAATCAAGGAAGCAGTAGCTTTGAAGGACACATCAGGCTAGATATACTTAACAGATATATACACAGAACACTGCATCCAAAAACAGCAGACCACACGTTCTTTTTGAGTACACACAGAATATTCTCCAGGACAGATCATATATTCGGCCATAAAACAAGCTTCAATAAATTTAAGAAGACTGAAATTCTATCAAGTATCTTTTCTGATCCACAATGGTATTAAACTGTAAATCAATTACAAAAAAAAAAAAAAA